GGTGGCTGCTAAAGTTATGTAACGACGCGGCGGCTCGATATTTCGCAGTTCGTTTGCGAGTGCTTCAGCCGCGGTGGAGACGTTCGGGACACTTGTGGTCTGTCCCCACGTTGGAATGCAGTGACATCTGGCTGATTGAAAAGAACGATAGGATGCACCTGTTCTGGGAACGCCCTTGGCATCCGCAATTTGGCACACAAGTGACAATATATCCAAAACTAAAAAGATCACTCAATTTGTACCTTATAAAATCGCGCCCTTCTGGTTAACTTGGACGGCCGCAGAGGAGCGTAGGCGCCCACTTTGTACCCACTTCGTCGTGTCGAACTTCTCCGCCCGGCTCTTTATTCGGGCGCGCCTGCTTTGAATGCCAACGAGCTCCCCGAGGGAGGCGCTTCAGCACATCATGCCGTTCTAAATGGCCTGTGGTTCCGGCATGGGTTGGCGCGGCTCCCCCGCCGTGGACTCTGCTATGCCGGCACGGTCCGCGATAGCGGCTGTGAATGCGTGCGCCCGTATTTAGGAGAGCTGCAGCATCAGCCAACTACATCGCGGCCGCCGAAAATGGCTGCTCGACGCGCTGGCGCAGAAGGCAGACTGCGCGCTGACGCAGACGCGTTGGCTATCCAGCTCAGTGGTCGGCGGTTGGCCAGCAAGTCATGCTTTGGCACGACTGCTGTTTTGACAACTGCTTGATTTCAAGCCGTGTCGAAAAGCCACACACAGCATGGTGGTTGCACGGCATGGTGGGAATTATCGCTTTGTGGGGTCTCGATCCTACCAACCTCTGGGAAAAAGTAGCGCCAGGCTTATGGTGGTGCATGGAAAGAGATAATGTAAATGTTTCTTAGCCGTCCTCCCCCCCCCCCCCAAATCCTGGGTGTAATTGCCTGGCTGCTGGCCCGAGCGCTCTGCTCGCGTCCGCCGCCGCCCGTCTGACGCCCAGCCGGACCCCGCCTGGGCTCCCCGCTGCTCGCTGGTGTGGTGACACGCGCGCTTGAGTCATGGGGGCGCGAGCGGGCTGGTGACGATAGCGCGCCTTTCGCCGGCCCGGCGGCGACCTCCTGCCGAGCCCCCCCCCCCCCCCTCCCCCCCCCGGGCACGTGAGGCCTGAACAGCTGGCCGGATAGGGCACGCGTCCGGCGCGCGGTGCGGCGCCTTTCTACAGGCTGGCGCCGTTGCGAAACGCACGCGAGCGGAGGGTGGCGGGCGCCTCTTTGGCCGGCCGACGGCGCTTGTCACGCACACGCGTCTTCCAGCCCACAGCCCTGGGGCCGCGACTGAGATGATATGTCACTTCAGGTGTGAGTGAATGAGTGCCTTTTTTTGCATCTGAGCGTTGTCATCAGCGCTGCACTGCCAAATCTGAACGCAGCGCGGTACAACATTATATCCAACATTTTTCCTCCGGCCATGTCTTCCGAAAAAACCGCTCTCAATACTCAACGTTTCCATGGTGATGGCTGTTTAGCTCACCAAACCCCATTTCGTTATCACACCACTTTGTTTGTCCAGTTACGCAACGCATCGGGCTGAGCTGTTGCTGTTAAGCGCCGCGGAACTTTTCCGTCGACCGCTACGCTGCACTGGTAGCACGTAAGCGAAGTAGCTTATTCCTCAGCCGCAAAATTGTGGACAGTGCTCCTTTGTACCCCTCCCGCTTGTGTTGTGCTTACGCCTACGCTCGCGATACGACGGCAGTGTGCCCCTCCGTAAGAAGATTACATGTCGAGGAGCTTAACTTTCCGTGTCTGGATTGATCTGCAAAACACGGCAACGTTCGTGAAGTCTACCGCGGCGAGGCCCACACAAAGGGGCGGGGAGGGGGGAGCGGCTGATCTGCAGGTCACACGGCTCCTGGATAGGGGACTACCCCGACCAGCCCCGGAGCCTCCGGGAACTTCACGGACCGTGCGGGACTCGTCGTTTTTTAAGCCCTTCTTGGACGTCCGTCCGTGGGAGACGTTGTACGAACAACCGGTCCTTAGCCATGGAAGGTTCGCTCGCAGCAGGAAAGTACCGCTGAGCGTGTCGTGTGATAAATGCTTACATGAAAAAGGCGAACAGCTGCTCACTTTGACGGCTGAACGGGCAGCGGCTGACTGGAGCGCCCCACGCGTCCGGCGGTCGGCGCCAGCACGCGCCTGTCGTGACGTCGCGAGCGCCGCTGCCCGCCCGGTCATCTGGCCCGGTCCGGCCGCTGTCGGCAGCCGCGGCGCAGGACTTCTGTGCCGCTGGTGTTGACCTTTGGCCTGTCAGTGGTTTGTCTCGGCCCGGCGGGCGGCGCCGGCCGGCTGACAATGACTGCGTGCTGCGCAGGGCCGGCCGCCGCCGCGACTGATCGACAGCGCACCGCGGGCCAGACGCCCGTCGGCCGAGCGCGGCTCAGAGTCGGCCCGGCCGCCTGCTCTTGAGGCTGTTCTTCGTGATTTTGTTGCGTTTCTGTTATGCCTGATGTTTTGTCTCATTTAGATTTCCGAGACTCAGCATCTGTGTTTTGTTTTGGTTTTTCGTTGCCGCGCTATCTAGCACATGACATTGCTCACAACCTGACACTAAGTAGAGAAGACGGCCGCGTCTGCAGGGCTGGCTGGACTGTGGCTGTGCCTCCGCCCCTCCCCGGCTGCCGTGCTCCGTCAGCACGCCGCCGCGCTGGTCGGCCGGTAAACGTCGGCGTCGATCAGAGCTGGCCACGTCGCTGCCGGGAACGGCTCCGCGGTGCCGCCACACTGGCGATGCGGCCGGCGCCGCTGCCGACGGGCGGCGCTCTGGCGCACCGCCTCATTCGCCGCCGCCGTGGAAAGCCGTCCCTGTTTTTCCGTATGTGAGCCTGGGCGCGTTTTTTGTGGGTTTTTGCGCGCTGTCTGACACTTGTTGTTGGGTGGCAGGACAGAATCGGTCGAGTGATGGATCACTCCTGCTGCTGGCGCTCGACGGGACCGTACAAACAAACCTTGGCACTGTTCGCTACTGATGCTCCATACAGATACGGTGGCTTCCCGGATAGCTCTTTCCGTTGCGCCGTGATTGGAAGTCATATTTACTTATCATATCCTGGCCATGAAAATAGCTAGCCAGAATGACTCGCTTCGAAGCCGCCCGGTTTTTCGCGACGTCTGATTCACAATACATCAGTCGCGACGGCCCTTGTCGAGACGGCCCTGCAGCAAGGGTGTTGTCATCAAGAAAAAAACAGTACAAAACAACCCGAGGACAAATCTGCCGTGCTGAGCGTTTTCCGTTACTTTCGGGAGGAGGCTTGCCCGCCGCCGCTGGGCGTGGTTTTCCCTGTTCTGGTGAACCCAGCTTGTCTTTGTTCGGCACGTCAGTGGTCAGAGTACTCCCGTGTAATCGGCCGGGATTAAACGGCTCACAGTGCACTGTGATATTGTACCAAACATGCGCATAGTTGCCAAGCTTTCTTCCTCTGAACCGGTCCCTGGATCCTGGTTCTTGAACGATGAGGGACGCAGGGTCCGAGAATGGTGCCGAGTGATACAGCATGTACCAGGATTCAACACCGCACTATGATGAAGGATCTAACAAGAACCAGGATCCAACCCGGACTCGTGGCGCGAGATGCAACGCCGAGCCAGGCCCAGTCCGGCAGTGTGACACTTTGGGCTGTAACGAGAACACGCGCAGCGTTGCGTGTTATCTTGCACGGAATGATGCTCAGATGTGCGAAGGTCGCCGGGTGATTTGGTTGTCAAGGTCGTCGACTTGGTGTGGTCAGCGCGCTGCTCTTTGCACTGCGTCACTGCGTCACTGCGTCAGCCCGACCCATCTCGTCACTACGTCGCTGCGTCAGCCCGACCCATCGTCACTGCGTTACTGCGGCAGTCCAATCCATGTAGTCATTACGTCATTGCGTTAGCCCGACCCCTCCCGTCACTGTGTCATTGCGGCAGCCCGGCCCATCTCGTCACTGCGTCAATGCGTCAGCCCGATCTCTCTTGTCACTGTGTCACTGTGTCAGCCCGACCCCTCTCGTCACTGCGTCACCGCGTCAGCCCGACCCCTCTCGTCACTGCGTCACTGTGTCAGCCCGACCCATCTCGTCACTGCGTCACTGCGCCGGCTCGACCCCTCTCGTCACTGCGTCACTGCTTCAGACTGACTACTCTCGTCACTGCGTCACTGCTGCAGCCCTCCCCCTCACGCCACTGTGTCATTGCGGCAGCCCTCCCCCTCTCTTCACTGCGTCACTGTGTCAGCCTGACCCATCTCGTCACTGCGTCACTGCGCCGGCCCGACCCCTCTCGTCACTGCGTCACTGCTGCAGCCCTCCCCCTCACGCCACTGTGTCATTGCGGCAGCCCTCCCCGCCTCGTCACTGCGTCACTGTGTCAGCCCGACCCATCTCGTCACTGCGTCACTGCGCCGGCCCGACCCCTCTCGTCACTGCGTCACTGCGTCAACCCGACCCATCTCGTCACTGTGTCAGTGCGTCAGACCGACCCCTCGTCACTGCGTCACTGCGCCAGCCCTCCCCCTCTCGTCACTGCGTCACTGCGGCGGCCCAATCCATGTAGTCATTACGTCACTGCGTCGGCCCGACCCCTCTCGTCACTGCGTCACTGCGTCAGCCCGACCCCTCTCGTCACTGCGTCACTGCGTCAGACCGACCCCTCTCGTCACTGCGTCACTGCGTCAGATCGACCCCTCTCGTCACTGCGTCACCGTAGCAGCCCGACCCATCTCGTCACTGCGTCACTGCGCCGGCCCGACCCCTCTCGTCATTACGTCACTGCGTCAGCCCGACCCTTCTCGTCACTGCGTCACTGCGTCACTGCGTCAGCCCGACCCCTCTCGTCATTACGTCACTGCGTCAGCCCGACCCTTCTTGGCGTGTGCTGTGTGGTCTCTAGTGTCCTGGGTGTTTCTGAATCGTCTGGTGTCAAGACCAGCCACACCTGAATCGCACCGTGCCCCCAACGGGTTTGCCCCCCCCCCCCCTAAACCAGCCCCTCTAACGACGTTGCCTCGTCCGCCTCCAGGCAAGCCGCCCTTCTACCCGGGCCTGGACGAGTCAGCGCACCTACTGGACGAGCACGGCCTGCTGGACGGCCTGTCGGCGCTCAGTCCGTCGCGCACCTCGCCCCGCTCCTCCGGCTCGGGCGACAACGGCGAGCGCTACTCGCGCAAGGTGTTCGTCGGCGGCCTGCCGCCCGACATCGACGAGGGTGCGTGAGGGCGCCGAGCGCGCGCAGTGCAGGGGTCGGGGCAGCGGGACAAAGTCTAGCGCGGAAGCATGCATGGATGGGAACTTCGAAATCATGCGATCATTTGGGTATCCAGTCATTGGCCGGTTTGCTTGTCTGCCTGTTCGCTCGCCTGTATGAAGCCACTTGTGTTTTTCGGTCATCTTCAGACCTACTTAGTTTATTCTTTCGATCACGCACGTATCCCTCATCTATTCCCCCACCCTCTCGCACAGACCTTACTTACTCACCGCCATTTTTGTGTGACGTTGTGGGTGGTAAAGGTTTACATTTGTCTATCCGTAAGAGCTCCATGCCATGACACGCCGTCTGTAATTAAATGACTTTAACTGAAATGCCGTACGTGGCGAATGGCATCGGCGATATTGGAAGACAAAAAAATGTTACTGTCCAGAACGTAATGCCTGAATCGTACTGTGTTTACACTGTATCCACGTGCTAGGAGTTCTTGGTGTCGCAAGGTTTTTGTTTGACGCGCATTATATCACGCCACGTGTTTACGTGATGTTACAGATTACAGCATGTTGTGTCTTGCTCCCTCGTAAAAGCAGCCCTCCCAGCCTTGCCGCTATCTAGTGGTTGTTGTTTGGGCTGAAGGCGTCTAAGCCGCGCGCTAAACACCAGGACAACATCATGATAGCCGAATTATGCTGTGATCTTCAGGCTGCCTGGAAACACTTCCTGTGGTGTTTACGAGCGGCTTAACTGCGCCTCGTTTTCCCGTCGCTGATTAGGCAGACAGTTTGCTGCGCGAATGGGTCGAGTAAGGGGGCGCTCGTGCGCCGATGATGAGCCGCCGCTCGGCGCGGCGGCTGCCCGGAAAACAGTTCGGCCGGCGCGTGGCCGCCGTCGCCAGGCCCAAATGGAAGTGGCCGCGCCGGTCACCCGGCTCGCCACGCGACGACGTTGATTGCCCGGCGCGTCGCGTGCCGGCGTGTCGTCGTGTCGTCAAGCGTGGCGCGGGCGGTGCCGGCGAACAGTCGCGTCGCCACTTCCGCCGTCGCCGTAAACAAGGAGGCCCCACCGTGCGCCGCTGTCGGCGCCGGCAAACCCGCCGCGCGCCGCGCCGCGCAAACAACGGACTGCGCGGAGTGTTTTGGCGACGCTGGCGCGGGCGGCCGGGACGCGCGCGGTGCGTGCCGCCCTCGGCGGGACCGATCGATGTACGATGGACACGGCTCCGCCGACGCTGCTGGCGGCGCCGTGCGCCCCGGTGATCCATCGGCCCCGGTCTGCCGTCGGGAGAAGAGAGGAGGAGCGGGCAGCGCTAACGAGGGCCGGGCTGGCGAGCAGGCAGCCGCGGCGGTAGCGGCGGAGTGAGCTGTGCCTAGACACAGTTCGTCGTTGCGTGCTGTGGGGGAAGTGGAACCATGCTCGGCCCCTGCCGCGCTTGGATGAAGCTGTAGCGTGAGGGTCACGCTTCGGCACGTCAGGTTTTTTTTTCGCGGGATACCTAATAGGCATTTTTTGAACGTTTGATGTTTGGCCCCAATCGTTCAGATGGCCAGTAATTATCGATTGACTGAAATGACCCTGTGCGTTCTCAATGGCAACTTATCTGGGAATTTTCGGCTGGTTTTCTCACCAAAGCTTTTGAGTGCATTTTAAGTGTCATCGTCCGTGAAACATCGCGGGAAACGGTGAATTAGATAAGCTGTAAAAACGGCATTAGGTTTTCTCTGCTACCGCTGGGGACGTAATGACAACAGAAAAGCTGGCGGCGCAGGGGGCGCGGCTCGCCATCGGATAAGCGTTTGAGCGCTTGTCAGGCAACCGACCTACTGCTTACCATCGGTCGCTGGCCGGGCCACAGCCGATTCTGCTCACCATCGGTCGCTGGTCGGGCCACAGCTGACCACCGCTCACCATCGGTCGCTGGTCGGGCCACAGCCGATTCTGCTCACCATCGGTCGCTGGTCGGACCACAGCTGACCACCGCTCACCATTGGTCGCTGGCCGGGCCACAGCCGATTCTGCTCACCATCGGTCGCTGGTCGGGCCGCAGCTGACCCACCGCTCACCATCGGTCGCTGGTCGGGCCGCAGCTGACCCACCACTCACCATCGGTCGCTGGCCGGGCCACAGCTGACCCACCGCTCACCATCGGTCGCTGGTCGGGCCACAGCTGACCCGCCGCTCACCATCGGTCGCTGGCCGGGCCACAGCCGACTCACCACTCACCATGGGTGCGACACCGTCCGTGACGTCGCGGTCCCCGACATGAAAAACGGCCGGCGAGCGATCGTATCTGTCGGCCCCTTTTTAGGCGATCGGCGTGACAGCGCGCGACGCGCTACGTTGGGCGCCATTCGTCGTGGCGGTGTCGTCACGGGTCGGGCCCAGACGCGCGCGCGGTGAACCCCGACGGCAGGGATCCCGTCTAAGCTGACAGAGGTGACCGGCGGAGACCGGCCGCCGTTTTCACTGTTTCGCCTCGGGGCTGCCTCAGAAGGGGTCGGGACCATCACCGCCGACTGTCGGGGGCTGCTCCGTCCTAACGCTCTGCCCGTCGGCGTTTACACCATCTGGCTCCGTCGTCGGGGGCGACAGCAGTGTGACGCACACTGACTGGGACTATTGACGCTTCTTCGTACTCCATCGCATGTCGCGCGGGGCATGCCATGCGTCTTAGTGACGAATAGTGGCACGCATCCGTGGCAGGCGGGCCGTGTTGAGTCACGTGACCCCTCGCTAGAGCTCAGGCTGCATAATGCATGCACGCTACCATCCTGGGGTCCCCTCCGTGGCGTGCGGCGGACGTCGAGCGCCTTGTAGAGCGGGTCTCCGGCGGCCCCCCTGCTGGGCGGCGGTGTGCTCGCGTTGCCGCCCGTCGCGCCGGCCGCGGTGTGACCGGCGTTGTGTGCCGCCCTTCACAGAGGAGATCACCACCTCGTTCCGGCGTTTCGGCCCGCTGGTGGTCGACTGGCCGCACAAGGCCGAGTCCAAGTCGTACTTCCCGCCCAAGGGGTACGCCTTCCTGCTGTTCCAGGTGAGTGCCCGGGTGCCACGTGTTGGCTGGGGGCGCGCGGCCGGGCCCGAGGTCGCCGCAGGACCCTGAGGCCGGGACGGCAGAATCGGGAGGAGGGGGATGGGGGGGGGGGGGGCAGGGGGCGCAACGGGTGCGGAGACAACGGGAGCCTTTGGACGATCCGCCCAAGAATGTCAGCTTCAAAGTGACTACATGCGGGGGAACTGGTTTAGTGAGGGTAACTTTGTGCTTCTTTTATCGTGTATGGTACACCCATTCCATTACCACATAATATCAAGTTACGTGAGCCGTTTTCACGAGAGAATACGGTATAAAAACATTTTTCCTAAAGTTATAAAACTTTTCAACGTTTATTTTCTGGCCACATACTACATATACCACATACTTTTATCAGCGATCTCCGGTTGAAAATGTTTCGCATATATTTAAAAACATATTTGTAAAGACCCAAAAGTTGATGAAATTGCGGTTGGCATCAAGAAGCTATAAGCAAGATCATGCTTTTAGGGACAGGTGTGACACCAGATCTCCCCCTCCCGAAATATTTGAAAAGTTGTTAAAACCTTCGCTGGTATCTCTAACGCTGACGCAACAGAAGAAACCCCTGTATCCGTGTAGCGTTCGTGTTCATAGGTATGCAGTGCTTGCAAAGCCTACAATACTCGCAGAACTTGCTGACAGTACTTACAGAGCTGACAGGGCTTACATACCTGAACATGATCCAAGATGAATGACCCTTGAATGAGATGATTCTTAAAGGCCGCCTTACTCCATACAGGATCGATGTAAACAATAGCGGGGCAGCCGACATCCAGCGCCGGCGACCGATGCGCGTTGCTGATTGCCAGGCCTGCTATTTTCCTTGAATTTGAGTGAACTATAGCCATGGCCTGAAGAAATTCTACAAAGGGTCTCTTTTAATATAAAACTTATTCGTAGTGGGATAGTCTGGCTTACCTGCTCCCTGTTAAGGACTTGAAGGAACATTTGAAAAGCTTGTTAATAGCTTTTCAATACATTAATCCTTCGTGAAAATCATGACGTCATTACTTCCCTCACACTTGCTTACCTTCGTATCGTCATTCGCCTTTTTGCGCTTGTTTGCCGTAGCGTCGTCACTCTCGTCCAGGATGTGACTGCCGGCTTGTGTCAACACCGGGGGTCGGCTCCGTTACAATGAGATACGTCGGCCCCTTCGAGAGATTAGTACTTTGTTTGCGGACCTGGAGGTCATGCGCGCCGCCGTGCAGGCTGTCTGCACGACGCCGACGCTGATTGCTGCAGCCACTGCTATCGGGTCATGACGGCGGTGTCCCCCTCCCCCCCCCCCTCCAAGGGGATTAAGTCAGGGGATCAGGTGAGTCCGTGGTACATGGTGAGGAGGCGATGGCCGCTGACGCCGGAGGCCGTGTCGATCGCGGCCCGCTGTCCGATCAACGCCCAGCGCGCTCGTGTGGAGAATGTCCGACTCCGGCCGCCCGCACAACGCTGGTTGTGCCCAGGAGGGGTCATTTGCATTAGGTCACGGTGTTTTGAGCTCAGGCTAGTCCCGTAACCAGACCCGTAACCTGCCTCCGTAGTAACCGTGATCAGGCCCGTAAACTGCCTCCGTGCTCCATGCATACATACTGACAGCATCGGTTTCTTTTTCTGGTTGAAAAACAATGCTAAGCCGCTGAATGTTTGGAAGGTAGACGAGTCCCCTTGCGTGTTAAGCCTGTAATCATTCACACGAAAAGTACTTAAACATTTCGTAGAGCCTTTCCTCTGTGTGGTGCTGGTGTGTAGTAGTTCCGTCACCCGTAGGTCTGTCAAGCTTACCTATTTCGAAATTAGAATGCCTTCAGCTTCAGCGCGTTATGCTGTCAGGACTGTGGTATCTAGCAAGGACTAGCCTCAACGCAACCTAATGACATCAAAACTTCTTAGCCACGTTTCCCAGCACTGCCCGCAGACAGCAGTGCATCTATAACAAACGCAGTCCGTTGTCTGTACGGGTGGGAGCCTGCACCGACGCAGCCGGCCGCGCGCGCGCACATGTGTGCCGGTCGGCCTGTCGGCGCCGATGCGTCCCAGCCGGGCGGCCGGCCGGCCGTAATTGCAGCGGCACCAAGTGTTGCGTGTGCGCCGCCCGGCGCCGCAACTGTGCTGCCCCGGCCCCGGAGGCCGGTCGATACTGACTGACCCAGCGGCGGCGCGGCGGCCCGGCAGCAGCGCTGCCGCTGGCGCCGGCCGAGGCGTCTCGTGACGCACGGACGAGAGACGGGGGAGCAGGGGCGCGGGAGCCCGGCCCGGCAGCAGTACCGCCGCTGGCGCCGGCCGAGGCGTCTCGTGACGCACGGACGAGAGACGGGGGAGCAGGAGAGCGGGAGCCCGGCCCGGCAGCAGCGCTGCCGCTGGCGCCGGCCGAGGCGTCTCGTGACGCACGGACGAGAGATGGGGGAGCAGGAGCGCGGGAGCTCGGCCCGGCAGCAGCACCGCCGCTGGCGCCGGCCGAGGCGTCTCGTGACACACGGACGAGAGATGGGGGAGCAGGAGCGCGGGAGCTCGGCCCGGCAGCAGCACCGCCGCTGGCGCCGGCCGAGGCGTCTCGTGACGCACGGACGGGAGACGGGGGAGCAGGAGAGCGGGAGCCCGGCCCGGCAGCAGCACCGCCGCTGGCGCCGGCCGAGGCGTCTCGTGACGCACGGACGAGAGACGGGGGAGCAGGAGCGCGGGAGCCCGGCCTGGCGGACGCAGGCAGGCGTTGCGCAGGCGGGCGCGGGTTAGCCAGGCGCACGGAACTGTGTTTTGAGCTGCGTTGTGTGAACACTGGTGCATAATTGAACTCGGCCAACTCTGGAAACAGCTAAATCTCAAAACATCATGAAACTTTGTACTTCTTTCCTCCACAACGTTTTGCTGAGGCATCTCAAGGCTCTTGTTGTGCGAGGAAAGCTGAAATAAGAGCGCCTCACTTCTGACCTGCATGGAGCGGCACCTGTTACCCTGACATGGAGCCAGACTCAGTGTGTACGTGAGCGCTGTCCATCATCCGCCGGCTCCCGCGAGGACTGTCTCAGTTCACCGCCAGACGCCCAGCTGTTCTTCGCTGGTGCTGAGCCGGCCTCCGCCGTATTCTGGCATTGCCGAGGCGTCCGGAAGTGCAGTACATGTGCATGCGCTGCGCCCTGGCCATGTCTTTGAGACGGTACCGGGTACATGACTGTGACGCACCATGCCCGCGTCCTGTGGGGCGCCGTTGGTCCCCGTTTGCGCACCAGGGCTGTTACGATATCGGCGGGGCCGTGAAGCATTGGGGCGGGTGGTGGCTTTCACGTCGCCTGTGCTTGGGTCCCACTCTGAATTGCAAATTCGGAAGTCATTGGTGGGGTATTTGAAACAAACTTTATGGAGCGTGTTGAAAGTGTTGGGATTTTGGAATGACCCGCTGCCTGAAGTCGATTTTTGTTTGCATAGCATCTGTGTTTTCTGGCTGATTTATGGGCTACCCATTGCATTGTTTTTTACACGATGTATGTACAGTTGGTTTATAAATGCGGTTGCTTCAGGTTTCGTTATATCAACCGCCGGCAGCAATTTCCCTTTCATGCGGTAGCCATGCGTGTGTGTTTGTGTATGTGGGTGTGTGCGTGTGTATGGGTGTCATCGGGGCTTTCCGATGCGGTCAGCTGCTGACGCTATATGGGGTCGCCTGCCTCTCGCCCTGGCAGAAAGGGCGACACCACAGGGAGTCGAACCCCGCACCTCTAGTCTCAATGCACCAGCGCTGCGCTGACTCGAGCAATAGCGCTGTTTGTGCCCCTGGTGCGCGGTTTTCCGTGTAGGGCTGCACGAGCCCCAGCAGCCCTCGGCGCAAGGGTGCCCGGGGCAGTCCCGGTGGCCCGACTGCGCGGTGCCCTCGGCTCCGCAAAGGCCGTAATCGCCCTGTTGTTTTTCGCCGACTCCATTTGTAGCAACTAGACTGTCTGCCACGTAGCTTGTGCGCTACCTGTGGCAAAACAAAGGCTGCCGCCGGCAAAAAGCGGCCGCCTGCCGAGCGGGCATGTCACCACGGCGGGGCTGACCGCGGCTTCGACCGTTTTGCGTCGCCTCGGGGGCGGCGATGTATGAGAACCCCGAGACGAGCCCGGCCGTCGCTGGGACATCATTAGGCGGAGCGCGGCGGCCACTGGTTAATCTGGCCGGCTCATCCGCCGTGTTCCGCAGAATCCGCGTCCGCGTCCGTCACGTCCGTGCCCGCTGAGTCCGCGTTCGCCGAGTCCGCGTCCGCCGAGTCCGCGTCCGCGTCCGTCAAGTCCGCGCCCGCCGAGTCCGCGTCCGTCGAGTCCGTGTCCGACGAGTTCGCGTCCGTCATGGCCGCGCCCGCCGAGTCCACGCCCACTGAGTGAGTCCGCCCGGCTAACCCGACCCGCCCCGCCCCGCCCGGCAGGACGAGTGCTCGGTGCAGCAGCTGATCGACACGTGCATCCAGGACGACGACAAGCTCTACCTGTGTGTCTCGTCGCCGACCATCAAGGACAAGCCGGTGCAGATCCGACCGTGGAAGCTCTCCGACGCCGACTACGTGCTGGACGCTTCGCTGCCGCTCGACCCGCGCAAGACCGTGTTCGTCGGCGGCGTGCCTCGTCCGCTCAAGGCCGGTGCGTCCAGTCTCTGGGCCGGCGGTGCACCTGTGGCGCCAGCTGGGGCCCGCAGCCGGCTCCCGGCGGCGCGGGGCGCGCTGGCGGCCGCCGCTGGCAGGCGTGGTCCGAGAGTGCGGGGCGGCAGGTGCAGCGGCGGCTCTACTAACTGCCATTGGAATGGTGTTGTTTGGGGGTTTTGCCATTGAGGAGCGCTCGTTCTGGGAGCTTTGCCTTGTCAGCTTTTCTCGGCATTCCTCGCCTGCGAGTCTCAAGCGCTGGCTTGCCCCGTTGCCATGACGATATTAGTAGGATGCGGCCCACGAACAGAGGTCGTTTGTCGGTTCTTTGCGCGGGGGTACTTATGGGTCACGCGTAAAACGCTACGCTGTTCCGTGGTTCATATGATTTTTGATTTTTCATTCGCCAGGCGTTTTTTTTTCCTTTCTCTAAAGTTGGGAAAATTTTGCATCGTCCGAAACAATGCATCCGAGAAACTGGTTCGGATGTACCCCTCTTCTTTAGTTACGCTTAGCTTACTACAATGCCAGATGTCGCCGAGGCCTATTTTCAAACTTCTGACTTTGATTTCCAACCCGTCGTAGCATCTTAATCCAGACCAGGAGCGGAAAGTCCGGCTCAGCTGCCCAGGTCGTTTTCGAGACCACATCTGAGCACATCTGACCACATCTGCGGTCGCGATCTCACAGGGCGTCCGGATTAACCGGGCCACAGGACCACAGGGACGGGGCTTCCGTGTGACTGGTGTGCTGAGCAAGACTCCGTGAAGTCGCTCTGCGTTCTCCGCACGAGAGACGCTGGCGTCTGCAGACACAGCCTGTGTCCGCAGCTGTGTGTGTGCGTGTGTTTGCCTCCGGGACTGGCAGTCCGTTCGGGCTGGCGCGGCGGCAGGCACGTCAGCCCGCTGTCAGTGGGTGTGGCGCCCTCCTCCCGGGCGCACACCCCCTCCGCGGTCCGTGCTGGTCTCCCCTCCGCTCGTACCCGCTGTCGGCTGGGTGGCGCCCTCCTCCCCGGGCGACACCCCTCGCGGTCCGTGCTGGTCTCACTCCGTCGTCCCGTGTCGTGGCGGTGTGGCGCCCTCCTCCCCGGGCGCACACCCCTCCGCGGTCCGTGCTGGTCTCCCCTCCGCTCGTACCCGCTGTCGGCTGGGTGTGGCGCCCTCCTCCCCGGGCGCACACCCCCTCCGCGGTCCGTGCTGGTCTCCCCCCGCTCGCGCGCTGTCGGCTGGGTGTGGCGCCCTCCTCCCGGGCGCACACCCCCTCCGCGGTCCGTGCTGGTCTCCCCTCCGCTCGTACCCGCTGTCGGCTGGGTGTGGCGCCCTCCTCCCGGGCGCACACCCCCTCCGCGGTCCGTGCTGGTCCTCCCCTCCGCTCGTACCCGCTGTCGGCTGGGTGTGGCGCCCTCCTCCCCGGGCGCACACCCCCTCCGCGGGTCCGTGCTGGTCTCCCCTCCGCTCGTACCCGCTGTCGGCTGGGTGTGGGCGCCCTCCTCCCCGGCGCACAGCCCCCCTCCCGGTCCGTGCTGGTCTCCCCTCCGCTCGTACCCGCTGTCGGCTGGGTGTGGCGCCCCTCCTCCCCGGGCGCACACCCCTCCGCGGTCCGTGCTGGTCTCCCCTCCGCTCGTACCCGCTGTCGGCTGGGTGTGGCGCCCTCCTCCCCGGGCGCACACCCCTCCGCGGTCCGTGCTGGTCTCCCCTCCGCTCGTACCCGCTGTCGGTCTGGGTGTGGCGCCCTCCTCCCGGGCGCACACCCCCTCCGCGGTCCGTGCTGGTCTCCCCTCCGCTCGTACCCGCTGTCGGCTGGTGTGGCGCCCTCCTCCCCGGGCGCACACCCCCTCCGCGGTCCGTGCTGGTCTCCCCTCGCTCGTACCGCTGTCGGCTGGGTGTGGCGTCCTCCCGGGCGCACACCCCCGCCACGGTCCGTCCTGGTTCTCCCTCCGCTCGTACCCGCTGTCGGCTGGGTGTGGCGCCCCCTCCCCGGGCGCACCACCCCGCCACGGTCCGTTGCTGGTCTCCCCTCCGCTCGTACCCGCTGTGCTGGGTGTGGCGCCCTCCTCCCCGGGCGCACACCCCTCCGCGTCCGCTGCTGGTCTCCCCTCCGCTCGTACCCGCTGTCGGCTGGGTGTGGCGCCCTCCTCCCCGGGCGCACACCCTCCGCGGTCCGTGCTGGTCTCCCCTCCGCTCGTACCCGCTGTCGGCTGGGTGTGGCGCCCTCCTCCCCGGGCGCACACCCCCGCCACGGTCCGTCCTGGTTCCCCTCCGCTCGTACCCGCTGGCGGGGGTGGCGCCCTCGCCCCAGAGCGCACGCTCCCGCCACGGTCCTGCCTGGTTTCCTCCCCGCCCACGCCCGCCGCGGACTTTGTCTATGATCGTCCCCGTCGGTCGGTATTGTTGGTCGCCTCCCCCAGCCATCAGATGGCTGATGGGAAAGGGGGCGGCAGCCGGTGGACTTTGGGTGGCAAGCCGTCCGGGTCGGTCGGTGTCCGGGTCAGTCGGTGTCCCAGTCAGTCGGTGTCCGAGTCGGTCAGTTTCCCGGTCAGTCAGTGCCCGGGTCGGCCGGTGTCCAGTTCGGTCGGTGTCCGGGTCGGTCTGTATCCCGGTCAGTCAGTGCCCGGGTCGGCCGGTGTCCAGTTCGGTCGGTGTCCGGGTCGGTCGGTGTCCGGGTCGGTCTGTATCCCGGTCGGTCGGTGTCCGGGTCGGCGAGTGTCCCGGCCGGCCGGTGTCCCGGTCAGTCGGTGTCCCGGTCAGTCGGTGTCCGGGTCGGTCGGTGTCCGGGTCGGTCGGTGTCCCGGTCAGTCGGTGTCCCGGTCGGTCGGTGTCCCGGTCAGTCGGTGTCCGGGTCGGTCGGTGTCCGGGTCGGTCGGTGTCCGGGTCGGCGCCCAGGCTGAGTGGTGGCCGTCGGCCTCGGGCGTGAAGGTCCGGCCCGCGGTGTGGTCAGGTGGGGATGTGGTTTTTGGTCACGAGCACCGGTGACCTGCGGCAGGCTGATGCTCGGCTCAGGCTTGTCTGAAATGAAACGGCCGGTTTATATCACGATTACCATAACTTAAGCAAATGTAAAAGTGTTTTTTCGTGATCTGGTGAATTCTTGAAATCGGAATAACAAGCAATTATTGATTCAGTGGCTCCATTAAATTTCAATGTGTGCGACTTCTGGCAAGCATGATTTAACGCCACACCTGACTCAAGCCGAGTACGTTTGTGGTCTTCGGACGGATGACATAGGCAGCCCTCGACCGACCGGCGTCGACGATTGGCGTGGCTCCCCCTGACCCGTCCGGGCACAACGGTGCCAGGTGTGAGTGGGCCGCCCGGCGCCGCCACCGCCCCCGCGGCCGCCGCCAGTTCGGGGGGCGGGGGCGCTCCGGGCTGCCGGCGGCGGGCTCGCGCCCGGTGACCTCCTGACCTTTAGCCGGGTCGATTCCGCGGCTGTCCGCCGCTCGCGCCTTAAATCTAGCGGAGGAGGGCGGGAGGGGGTGGGGTGGGGGGCAGCATGACACCGACCTTCACGTTCGGTGTCGACCCCTGTCAGCTGGGTCAGGTCAGTCGGGCGAACTGGCGAGGGAGGGAGAGAGAGAGGAAAGTAGGTAGGTTGGGAGGGAGGATCCGATGCCGGTGGTCGGCTGTGATCGCCGGCAGGCCGACGGAGAGGCAGCCGGCGCGTACTGCGCCGCGGCGCTGAGAAATGGAGCCCGCCCACCGCCGCCCGCTGGCGACCGCAGGCTAGTGGATGGTCTGCCAGAACACCACTCACCCTGTCAGCCAGCAGTGACGGAGTAACGGGCGAGCGACTCGTGTTACCAGCAGTCATGCGGCAACCCGCTGAGTGCGTATTTCACGGAAAGGCGATGCCACACCGTTCAAGCCTTTCTTCGTGAGGAATGCCTTAAAGTCGGGTTCACCAGGGACAGGAACGAGCGGCGTTGATCGGATTCAGTTGGATTGTCGCCGGCATTCAGCAGGTGACGGGCGAACAATATGTGTGCAGATGTTTGAAGCGTTAATGTCCCGATCCGCGGGCCCGACGCTCTCTGATAGACGATCTCGCATGGGACCCGCGTCCTGGATGACGTCCGTTTACCAGCTAATGACGGGGATAACTTGGCGCGGCTGAGTGGCAAACTCCAACCAACGGCCATTAAGCACCGCGTAACACTGATGAGACCTCTCAAGTTGCCGCCCAGTTTGGGGAGTTGAAGCTGACTGCGCTCAAGCAATGTCCGGAAGTGGGCTGGTGACTTTGTGACCCCGTCTGGCTTACTTAGAAGTGGCCCTGGTGTCTGCCTTGCTGCTTTGTCTTGTGTGATTGATAGCCCGGGGCCTTCGAGGTCATGTTTCCACACAAGCTATTGGTGATCGCCTGTCTTTTGTGAGACCGCTTTATGACCTGTGTTTATTGATGGGATTTGAGCAGCCGTGGCAGATGGCTAAGCTTGTGAGTGTTGCGCCTGCCGGCTGAGTCCGCCTGGCCAGGTCAGGGTTAGCCGTGACCCGTGACCTTGAATGGGACGCCGCAGCATGAAGGTCATGAACCGTGCACCATCGCCACAGACTGCCGGCGTGACGGCGTCTGTGACCCGACCTGTCCTGCCGTGACCTGACCTGTCCTGTCCTGGCCTGTCCTGACCTGCCGCGACCTGGCCTGTCGTGCCATGATCTAACCTTCGTGACCTGACCCGCCATGTCGTGATCTGGCCTGCCCTGTGATCTGGCCTGTCCTGCCGTGACCTGACCTGCCCTGTCCTGACGTGGCCTGACCTGCCGTGACCTGGCCTGTCGTGCCGTCATCCAACCTGCCCTGTCGTGACCTCACCTGTCCCGTCGTGACCTGACCCGCCATGTTTTGATCTGGCCTGCCCTGACGTGACCTGACTTGTATTGCCGTGACCTGAGCTGTCTTGCCGTGACCTGACATTGCCTGATCTGACCGGCAGTGGAGCTGGCCATGATCATGGACCGCCTGTACGGCGGCGTCTGCTACGCCGGCATCGACACGGACCCGGAGCTGAAGTACCCGAAGGGCGCCGGCCGAGTGGCGTTCAGCAACCAGCAAAGCTACATCGCGGCCATCAGCGCTCGCTTCGTGCAGCTACAGCACGGCGACATTGACAAGCGGGTGAGGCGCGGCGGAGGATCAAGGCAGTGTCGGTTGTTGGCTGTCCGCGCCAGCCGGCCACCTCTCCAATGGCGAAGGCTCTGCGCCGCCTGCCGCGGTGGAGCGGTGACTGTGTCTACGGGCGTCCACACGCCCGTGCCCACGGGCGTCTGAGGAGAAGTCCTCGCTCTTCCGGTGTGCTGGCACGATTGGCGAGCTGTTCTCTGCGCCGCACGTGCGGACACCGCCGGCGGCGGGCGCCGGGACGATCAGGACCAGCGGCGGGCTCTGACGCGCGTGGACGCGGCGCCCGACGGGGGCGCTGGCCCTTCTACCGCCCCGCCCCGCCCCACCCCGCTGACGGTCCTGTCCGTCCTGTAGGTGGAAGTGAAGCCGTACGTGCTGGACGACCAGATGTGCGACGAGTGCCAGGGCACGCGCTGCGGCGGCAAGTTCGCCCCCTTCTTCTGCGCCAACGTCACTTGTCTGCAGGCGAGTCGGTGCCTGCTGTCGCTGGAAGCTCGCGACCCTCTCGCGTCAGGCTCGCGACTCGCGACTGTAAAGCCTGTTGGCGTACGGCAGGTCACGTTTGCAATGTCACGAGCCGAGCATGTCGTACTGCATAAGCATCAGTCGAGCGATACCACATGGTCAGTCAAACTCTCCCGGTTCTCAGCGCCCCGGTGACAGTGTGCCAGCCGTCTCCGCTCGTGTGTTGATGTTCACTGACGCGTCTTCGCCGCCTGCTGCAGTACTACTGCGAGCACTGCTGGGCCACCATCCACTCGCGGCCGGGCCGGGAGTTCCACAAGCCGCTGGTCAAGGAGGGCGCCGACCGGCCTCGCGCCGTGCCCTACCGCTGGTGCTAGGCCGGCATCCGCCTCAGGCCCCCAGCGGTCACCGGCGGACGGCCACCGGCTACCGGCGGACGGTCAGCGGCCACCGACAGACGGTCAGCGGTCACCGGCGGACAGTCAGCGGTCACCGACGGACGGTCAGCGGTCACCGGCGGACGGTCAGCGGTCACCGGCGGACAGTCAGCGGTCACCGGCGGACGGTCAGCGGCCACCGGCGGACGGTCAGCGACCCAACGTCCCGGCGCAGGCCCTGCTGACCTTTCTCTTTCTCCTTACTGCTCCGGCTCGGCTCCTCGTTAGGCTAGACGTGCGTTCTCCCGGCGTGTGATGTGCCATAGCCTAGTCCGGCGGCGGCGGGGACGGGGTCGGGCCCCGGGGCGGCCGGCTGCCGTTTTATATATCTGTGACATATTACCGTAGTTGTTAGCCTCCGGCTGTCGCCGCAGCACGTATGATTCCTGCCGGGCGCCACTTTGGATACATTTTTTACCTTTTCACCGTTTTTGTATCGTCGCCGTTTGCAATTGTAAATAGATTTATGTACAAATCGCCGATATTTATACAGCACTACGTGGGATTGAAATCGCATAGTTCCTCCTCTTTATTTTTGGGGTCGCGCCTTTTGTACGGAGAGCCCCGTGCCTGTGCCCGCCGGGCGCCGCCCGGCCCATGGAATGACATTGCCGTTGCCGTATGTTTCTCCGTGTGACCGTGTTTTTAATACGCTGGCCGCCCGACCCCGCCGCCGTCCCCGCCGCCGCCCCACCCGTGCGAGGGCGCGACCTTCGGCGCCTTGTCGCAGGTCCGCCCCCGCACCGCTGTTTTCTATTTATCCTCAATATTTGAAGTCGTGAGGGCCTGGCGCCCAACTCGCTCCGTCACGGGCATATGTATAATAGGAGGTTATGTGATAGCTGTATTTATCCATTATTGTGATTTGACCTAATTTATGCAATTAATTTTCTAGTTCAGACGTTTATTATTTCGCGTGTTATCATCATTTAACCGGTGTCGAGTGGTATCGTAGCTTACCCGGCACCTTGCGTACTCGGTGTGTCGGTTTCGCGGTTGTCTGGAGCGGAGGCTCGTATTGCCTATGTGTGCGCGACTGGGCGCGGGCGCCGGCGCCGGCCGCCGCCGCGCGCCGCGGCCGCCGCCCGGCGCGCGCTGGCGCCCGGCGCCGGCCGCCGCGCCGCTGTGGTAGTGCTTGTGATAGCGTGCAGTGCGACGCCCGGGGTGTGGCGCGCGACACCGGCCGCCTCCCGGCCCACCCTGATGCGGGTCAAAAGACGTCAAAAGCCGCGGCGAGCCGCATGATGATCGGGAATCAAAAGCGGTGTCGGGTGAGCGCCCGGCCGGCGGTCGTGGCCGCCGCCGCCGCCGCTGGCCGGGCCCGTTGTTGGATAGGTGTAGGCGCGGGCGCGGTGTGTGCGTCGTCTATCACAGGGGGCGAAGCTCCATAACCGGGTCGGTAAATTGCCCGAGAGAGCATAATGTGCTAGACTCAGCAGTAGTTGTTGCGCCGGCCTGCGAGCCGTGCCCGTCTCCTCACCGTAACGCTCCCCGTCCCCCGTGTCGACACGCTTGTTTTCAGGGTAGCAGTACGTGGGCATTAATTTGTAGTTTATTTTTCTAATAGTACCACAGGAAGCTTCCGGGTTTCGCCTACGTACCTCCGCCCCCCCCCCCCCTCCCCCCCCCCCGCCATGGGCGTCGGCCCTGCTGCCGGCTGTGTGCCCCCTGCCCCCTGCCCCGTTCCGCTGGTGGAGCGCCCTTTTGCTGTGCAGTGCGCGCCATTTCAAAGCGGCCCGTTTTCAGTGCGACTACCGAACTCCCGCGTACTGTAGTCGCTGCGCGACCGTGGGTTTTGTACAAAAATTAAAGGTGTCATTCATTTATTTTCCTAGTCCAAGTACACTGCTAGCAACATGGTTTTATAGTATGATTTTAGCAAATCGGAAGTGATTTTATAACGCTTCATAATTAACGCCGCGGACAGTGTCTGTGCGGTAGTGTGCCCGTTGCTGAATGGTTCGTATTTCCATAGACGTTGCCCACTTGTCCGTTGTTACGTTGCGCCTCGTTGAGCGGCGGGGGCGGGCCGCGCCCGGGTCGCTGGCTCGCGCCGGCGCTGCCGGCTGTGGGCGTGACCCGGCGGCGGCGGCGCGCCCCCGCCCGCGGCCGGCCGCCCGCCGGTGCGGCTCGGCGCTTCAGTCACCTTAGTTAACGCGCCGTTTTGTAAACCGTTTTCTAATTTTGTAGCGGCGCGCGCCGGCGGCGGCCGCGAGCCCGACCTCGGGGCGCGCGGCCCGCCGCCGCCGTTCGTTTCACCTGTTCGGGGCAGTTTACAGTTATTTTGTTGTGTCAGACGTTTTTATGTTTTGATAAATAATTACATAAAGATCACAGACATGGTGTTTTTGTGAGTCGGCGGACGAGAGCGGAGGTTGGCCACGATCGGCCGGCTGTCGGAGGGCCGGCTGCCGTTCCCTGCCGCCACACCGGGACAGCGCGCTGGGCGGCTGCAGTACACCGCGAGCTGGCGCAGGTGTGGGCTGACCGAGTGGGCGCCGCTGGGCCGCGCGCGCGCGCGCCCCGTGCCTGGAGCGGTGGCATTCGCCCGTCGGAGCCAGCAGTTTGTAGCGAGAACAAGTTTTCTCGCCCGCTGCGATCGGCTTCCGGGAGGAGGAAGTGCGATGGGCGGGAACCACCAGCTGCGAGGACGGAGGCCGGCGGCGCGCGGAAGTTTGGCGGAGCGTCGGAAAGTTCCAGCGGTCGGACCGACTGATCCATGCGTTTGCATGCTCCGCGCTCCATTGGTGAATAACGTAGGAAAGATCGTTTCGCAGTCAGTGGTACACTGACTGGCACACATACCCGCAATGGCGTGCAGTACTTTCCTGGTATTCCAGTGCTGCGTGCCCGGGACACGGCTCCAACTGGCACGCCGTGGGCAATATCCGGACAGGGCGCCACCATCGGAACTAGCAGAACCCAAAGAGCAAACAATTCCTCGCATTCCCAGCGGCTGCAATTGAATAGGGAATAGCGATGCGCAGACCACCACATGGTGAGGATCTAGCCCCAGCATGTTACGTCAGTGGCACATCTGGCGGTGGCGTTACTGCGGTAAAAATGCAAGCTCTCATCCCGAGAACATCACGCGCGCCGCGCAATATATGCTCCCTTGATACTGAGAGAACTGCTCTCACTTCACGCTCCACTGGCGTCACAGAAGAGTCACTTTTGAGGCCGGCGGCTCTACCTGTGCAGTGCGAGATTGATCCAACCGGTGTCCTACGGGTCAAAACGTCCGCTCCGCCGGGCTCCATGGAGTCCACAGTTTATCATCGCCTATTAGGGCGTGCTCTGCTACCGATCGTCGGGCGCAGACACCAGCTCGCATTACCCAAGTTTCCGCCGCACCGTTCCTCGCTTGGAATTATTTACCGGGAGCAGACCCGGTCCAACGTAGTTGCGCGCTGCGGAACTTCTCAAACGGCATAGAATGCAAAAGCATATATTTGCTCACAACACGTCGGTACAACGTTAACACGCCCACAACACGCCATTTCACTTTTGAACTTACAAACCTCAGGGCCATGATATTTTCCAATGTCAATAGGCATCTACCTAGAAAATGACTTTTAAAGGCCTGAACAGCCGCTTCAGCTCCAAACAGGTAGAGTGTAGAATGGACACATCGTTTTCAGTATAAGAGGTCGGCATGCGTCGAAGGCTCCTCGGGAGACACGTTCGCGAGACTAATGGTGCCTGCGGAGATATGCCCGCGAGACTGACGGCCCCTGCGGAGACGCCCGCGAGACTGATGGCCCCTGCGGAGATATGCCCGCAAGACTGATGGCCCCTGCGGAGACATGCCCGCGAGACTGATGGCCCCTGCGGAGACATGCCCGCGAGACTGATGGCCCCTGCGGGGACATGTTTGCGAGACTGACGACGCCTGCGGAGATATGCCCGCGAGACTGGCGGCCCCTGCGGAGACGCCCGCGAGACTGATGGCCCCTGCGGAGACATGCCCGCGAGACTGATGGCCCCTGCGGGGACATGTTTGCGAGACTGACGACGCCTGCGGAGATATGCCCGCGAGACTGACGGCCCCTGCGGAGACGCCCGCGAGACTGATGGCCCCTGCGGAGACATGCCCGCGAGACTGATGGCCCCTGCGGAGACATGTTTGCAAGACTGATGACGCCTGCGGAGATATGCCCCCGAGGCTGATGGCCCCTGCGGAGACATGCCCGCGAGACTGATGGCCCCTGCGGAGATATGCCCGCGAGACTGATGGCCCCTGTGGGGACATGTTTGCGAGATTGATGGCTCCTGTCGAGACATGTTCGCGAGACCGATGGCTCCCGTGGAGACATGCCCGCGAGACTGATGGCCCCTGCGGAGACATGCCCGCGAGACTGATGGCTCCTGTCGAGACATGTTCGCGAGACCGATGGCTCCTGTCGAGACATGTTCGCGAGACCGATGGCTCCTGTCGAGACATGTTCGCGAGACCGATGGCTCCCGTGGAGACATGCCCGCGAGACCGATGGCTCCCGTGGAGACATGCCCGCGAGGCCCATATGAACAGTTCGCATCAATTGAACGAAAAGAAACGTTTGTTTTCGGGCAAAATGAAATGAAATCACGCTGAGCACTGCACAATTTATGCGTGTGACTATTTTTCTCGTGCATGCCATCGCAGGGGCTAGGTCTCAACCTGTGGCACGCATTCAGACCCCGCGTCGCGGGCGCCGCTTCCTAATGCCATCGGAAAACGTCACGGCCGCTCGACTTCATCGGAGGTTGAAGTGAAACGGCAAATCCACGGCATATCACAAAATAAGTGGTCACCGCCAGCGTGTGGGGACACTCCGTGCGTCTGGCAGTCATCGTGACGGAAATGGTCACCGCATAGCCCGCCTAGCACGGCGAGCGTGCGCGCGGGTCGGAGCGTGCGCAACAACAGCACGCATGGCATGCAGTATGTTCTCAGCAGCGGACACGCGCCCTCGGCACGATCGTCGAGAATGGGTCCACTTCAACCAAAAACAGCGGCGCAACGCGCGCCAACGCCGTCAGTGCCCGTAATTTGTATGCACAGGGTTAATCCACCATACCCCAAAGCTTCAAAGCCCCGCCCCGTCGCCTGCTCTGCGGTCCTCGCCGCTACCGTCCTCCGCCGATCCACGTCGGAGGTCCAGGCCGGGACGTTCGCCCCACTACTCCTTCAGCGAGTCCAGGAAGGCCTGCAGCTCGCGCACCTGCGCGTTCAGCCGCTCCTTCAGCGTGCTGTTGGTGGTCTTGGCCAGCTTATCCTTCATCACCTGGCGGGGACGGAGGCGGCGCGGCGGTCAGCGGCCTGCAGCGGCGCGACACGCCGAGGACGGCTCCGCCTCAGGCCGAGGGGAGGGCGGCGTCACGCGGAACACTGCCGCACCCGGACCCGCTGACGGAGTTTAGACAAGCGCAGACGAGCGCACCGCGGGGAGGCCGCAAAATCCCCGCATACAAACACATAGAGGATCCGTAAAACCAACGCACACAAACCCGCCGGCGGTCAGCAAAACCACCGCAGAAACAGAGCGACGGTGAAACCTCCGCACTCGGGGTGTCTGCGAGATCATTCACCTGGCCAGCGGCACGCTGGAAGTTCGGAAGCCTCTTCCGCGGCGCATTTAATATGGTCTGTGGCCCAGTCATCAGGCTTATAGCAGTCCTGTCCAATCACAGCTCAGTAACACGTCTGGCAGGAAGTCACGCTGCAGCTAGCGGGTCCGCGGGTCGGGATCCTCATCTAGATCGACTCTGCCTCACGCGCATTGCCAGCGTGTCAGCTTATGACATCGGAAGCTGCCTTTTCCCACCCACGCATCACTCACTCATCAACCACTCATTTGATTTCGCACGTGCTCAAACCACTTGCCCACCCAGCGCCCGTCCCCCTCGGTCCTGCCATGCACCAGCCAGCGCCGCCGCCTCCCACGGCCGCCAGCCCAGCTCCCGGGCCGGGCGGTGGCGCGCGCCGCGGCCGGCTCCGGTCCCCGGCGAGCGGACGCAGCCGCGCCGCCGTCGCCGCCACCGCCGGCGCCGCACTCACCTGAATATTGACCCGGCAGCCCGGCACGTTGTGCAGGATACGGATGTGCTTGTCGCCTGCTGTCAGCAGGTAGCGGCTGGTCGGGTCGAACAGCAGACTCGTGATGGGACCTGTCGGACGGCGGGGGCGGGGGAGGCGGGGGTCAGGGGGCACCCACACACGGCAGCCGCCGCACCCCGCAGTCATGGCAGCTGTCGAGGGGTGCGCAGCGGGTCAGTGGGGGAGGAGGGGGGGGGGGGAGAGTGTAACTAAGTGAAGTTGCTTTGTCTCGCGGTCCCCGCCTTCAGGAGTTCGCGTACCTCCCTGCTGACCGTGACTTTCGAACCGATGCGGCTGATTGGTGCACGATACGCGGCCTGAGTCAGCCCCATGCAGACGCCGGCGAGTGTCATGGCGAGCACGATAAGATCGGGGACGTCAGCCGGCTGGCGGCGATCGCACCACGCGCCGACAGCACGTGACGTCATGACTGGGGCGGGCAGAGCGCCGCTGTCCGCAACACGGACAACACGAAAAACACCGCAACGCCGCATTAGCCTCCACCCGGCATGAAACCTCTGATAAAACATCAGAATGACTCGTGTTTTTGCTAGAGCCAGTGCTTCTGTAAAAAGAATGACTTCTCCAACATCCCAGCTTACTTCATCCGGGTTACGTACTGCTCAAACGTCACTGACCGCACCATCGTTACACGTCTGCTCTGACCAGTCACGTGGCTGAGGCCGACTGGTCCATGAATGCTCCCCGGCGACCAGCACACGTCCCGAACAGCCTGCCGACGGGCACAGCCTGCCGCTCTCGAGACGGCAGCGGCCGCGCACCGTCGACAGCAGCGCCATCATGCCAGCCAGCTCCGGGGAGCCCCCACTGCGCGCCCGACGACGGCTGGGTTTGGGGTGCGCCGACAGCATGGACACACAGCGTGCAAACAGGCCGCGCGCCAAGGTCGTGGGTGACATGAGTTGCAAAAACCACGAGCTACGACAATGTAACCGCAGATGATTGCATTAAGCTAGCAGATTGCAACGTTCCAAACATGTAATCGACACATCAATCACAACATCCCCGCTTTCGGCTTTCCTGTCCCAGACGTGACCGCGCCGCCGACAGAGCCTGGCAGCCCGTGTCAGCACCACACAAGCCACTGGCGCCATCCGGCGGCGGCGGCGCCACTCACCGGTGTGCAGCGCCGCCACCGTGGCCATGAGTTCGGCCGTCTCGGCCGAGAAGAGCCGCACATCGGCGCGGCTGGCCACGGCCACCGTGCTGCAGTCGGGAGCAACCGCGACCCGCGTGGCGGTGCCACCGTCGCCGCACTCGGCCGACTGCATCAGTTGCGGGTCCTGGCCGATGCGGTACTCCACTGCGTGGCGAGGCGGGAGGTCAGATGACGAGTGCAGGAGGGGGGGGGGGGGGGGGGGGGGGCTCTGGCGATCAACCATACCGCAGCAAGCACGGGACCGACACATAAGACAGAGCTGGAATTTTTTGGCACGGCACGCATCGAACGGCACCACTGAATAGCAGGAACACGAGCTGCTGAGTCATGATCCCAAAAACCGCCTGCGAACATGGCAGCGAATGACACAACGGCCGAGAACACTTCAGGATCAGCGAGATGAGCTGAACCAGTCAGCACCACAGGCACCATCTGCAGCTGACGGGCACGTGCTGTTCCGGGCTCCGAGCAGCCCGCCGCCCGTGTCGCCCACCCACCGTTAGTGTTGAAGAGGCGCCAGGTGCCGTCCTTGCTGACAGTGGCCATGCGGAAGCTGTCGGGGGTGGCCGAGATGTCGAGCACGCCGGACGTGTGGCCCTTCAGCTCGAACGCGCGACTGAGCTTGTCGAACTCGCCCGAGCGCGTGAACACCACCTCCCACACCTTGACATCCGGCGTGAAGCCTGCCGGGGCCGGGCGGGTCAGGTCACCGGGGGGGGGACGCTGGGGCAGCACCGGCCCTGGCGGCTGGTGGCGACGGCTCGGTGCCAGGCGTGCAAGGACGCGCGGCTATAACACAGACGGCACGGTTCAGTAACACGGGTCTAATGTAACGCGACACGCCCAGCGTCTGCCTACGCACCATGACCTGAATGGACAATGCACGCAGCCAGTTGTAGCCGCCAGTGTAGCCGGGTGAGGCCTGTCACTGCAGCCAGGTACAGTTGCCGCTGTCACACGTCCCGGCTTCTAGGCCGAGTGTTGTTCGGAAAACCGAGAGCCAACACCCCGCATCCACTGCAGCCGTCCAAGACCGGCCGGCGGCAACGGCAGATCTCGGCGCACCACACTAGACTCACGGCCACCTGCGCGCCGGCTCGAACCTATCACCAGCCGCACCACCGCTCGCCGCCGCCACGAGCATGCCAAACCGCACCCCGCCTTCGACCCCGGCCATGTCACCTGCCGTCAAACAAACCCCGTGCACTGACCGGCCGACATGATGAAGCGGCCGCAGGGCGAGATGCGGGCGGCATGCACGGTGACCTGGCGCGTGTCGGTGCCGGCCAGCACGGCGCCCTTCAGGTCGAACACGGTGAGTCGGCCGTGCTCCGAGCACGACATGACGTAACGGCCCGAGCTGGAGATGCCGCTGCCCACCAGCGGGTCGTCGTCCAGCTGGCGGCGAGGCGGCGCGGTCAGTTGGAGCCATGTCCCGGGCACGCAGCGTCGGAATACCGGGAAATTGCTGCACCGTATTGTGGGTCATTTGCGTCAATCAGTGTACTACTGACGGCAAAAAGATCTTTCCTGCGCGGCGGCTTCTGGTGCGGAGCAGACACCGGCTGGCGACGCGACGCGGCGAGACAGCTGACGGCTGCAGAGCACGGGTGCAGAGAGTCCGGACAGCCCGGCGGACGAGGACGGGTACACAGGGGCTGGACGGGTGCAGAGGGTCCGGACGGCCCGGCGGACAAGGACGGGTACACAGGGGCTGGACGGGTGCAGAGGGTCCGGACAGCTCAGCGGACAAGGACGGGTACACAGGGGCTGGACGGGTGCAGAGGGTCCGGACGGCTCGGCGGACGAGAACGGGTACAGAGGGGCTGGACGGGTGCACAGGGTCCGGACAGCCCGGCGGACAAGGACGGGTACAGAGGGGCTGGACGGGTGCACAGGGTCCGGACAGCCCGGCGGACAAGGACGGGTACAGAGGGGCTGGACAGGTGCAGAGGGTCCGGACAGCCCGGCGGACAACGACGGGTACACAGGGGCTGGACGGGTGCAGAGGGTCCGGACGGCCCGGCGGACGAGGACGGGTACACAGGGTCCGGACGGTCCGGAGGACGAGAACGGGTACAGATGGTTCGGAGGACGAGGACGGGTCCAGAGGCCCCGGGCAGTCCGGAGGACGAGGACGGGTACGGAGAGTTCGAAGACGAGGACGAGCACAGAGGGTTCGGAGGACGAGGACGGGCCCAGAGGATCCGGACAGTCCGGAGGACGACGGCAGGTGTCACAGCACATCACTGCCGACGTCTGGGCAGGTCAGGCCCGTCACTGCCGACGTCTGGGCAGGTCAGGCCCGTCACTGCCGACGTCTGGGCAGGTCAGGCCCGTCAATACTACCACCGGGCAGCGACCTGTCCCGCACGAAGACAGGTCTGGTGGCCGAAGCAGGCAGGTACATGGGATACGACAGCTGCGTGACGAACGTTAGCAAGAGGTGCAGTAGGTGACGAAGCGGCCTCTGGTGATAGACGCTGCTGTAGGAGCCGCCCACCGGACAACGTGAAAATGGACGCACGGGTCTCCTCACTGGTCCCAGTCACGCAAAACAACGCATCCCGGAAGAAATGCTCACTTCTATAGCTGCCACACCACTGCTCGCGGCTGTGAGGTACCGCATTGGCGCCTATGGCAGGTGCAACACCAGGTCCATGGAACGTGTTCAAAAGCCAGCCAACTTCTGCGCATGGGTCATCGCAGGACGGCGAAAACACGACCATATAAGCGATATACTTCGCATGCTTAATTGACTGTTTGCCCGTCACCTTGTAGCGCACCATCCGCCTAGTCTACTGGAACGACTTTCAGCTATCGTTTTGCATTAACATTTAGTTAAACACCTTTTAAGATAAGCAGTTGTCCACTGCGGGCCTTTAAGCAAGGACTTACAAATATATCTGCCAGACTTAGTGCGATTCTGTGCTGAAGCAACATCTATCTAGTTGTTTTGTCACGCCAAATGTACTTCTGTTTGCGCGAGTGTTTTCAATGCGAGTTTTTCCTGCGAATCTCTTAATGATGTTGACTCAAGCTCGAGAACAGCCATGCCTTTGGACGAGCTCTGAAGCGTACAATAGGTACGTAACACTCGCCTGATAATATCTGAAAGCAGATAAAGGCCCGCATCAGTCACGAGCCGGTGCTGACAGTAAGTGACATCTCCCGCGTCCTTGTCACGAACCTTATCAAAGGTGAGCGCCACCTGCGGGTTGCCCAGCACACCATCGGGCTTCTTGCTCAGCTTGTACACCTGCAGCCGGTTCTCATTGAACTTGGCCACCAACAGGGCATGGTTGTCGGGGCTCCAGCTGACACCCGTGGCGTGGTCGTACTCGACATTGACTCGCGTCGACTTGTGCTCGCGCTCGGCGAAATGGCGGGTCTGCCACAGCAGCACGCTGCGGTCTGGGCGGTGGCAGCAATCAGAAAGTGGACAGGTAACAGGCCGAGCTCTAATACCAGTAATACCCTCACAGCTACCTTGTGAAGGGTAATGCTGATTATGCTTCAATAAAACCTGTCAAAATGCTGTGATGAAATGACAGCACTTCTTCTGGCATCAGAATAGACCACAGCATGATATTTATATTCCATGACATCAGCCCATGCAACAACAAAGCTAAAATAGATGACATACTTACCACTGGAGCAGGAAGCCAAGTATTTTCCATTGGGGCTGAAGCTCATGTCCAGCACATTTTCATTGTGGCCTTTCAATGATGATGACAGCCAAGCGTGGCTGAACTTGAACTTGCTATCTCTGTGTGGTGGGGCTTTCTCAGGCTTCTTTTTGGGCTTACTGGCATTTGTAGATGCACTGACATCACCTGCAGCTTCAGATGAAGCTAAAAATAACACAGAAGTTGAAATAAGAACAAACAGTTCTGAGACAAATGTTCCAGATGTTCTGCATGGGCTGTACCCTGAGTATTTCATCATCAAAATGAAGATTGTGACTCTATCAAGGGCAAAATGATATGCTCTACCATGTTTCAAACACTTGATTGCTAAACCTGGTTGGTGCTGGACAAACCACATCATCAAACAACTGACAACCTATGAGTTAGCTGTCTGAAATGTAACACAGCCACCCCAGCAAACAGACTGTTACCCTTCAAACCAAATGATAATAATCATTAGCATTAAGGTTACCCTCCAAACCAAATAACAACAATCATTAGCATTAATAGGGTTACCCTCCCAACCAAATAACAATGATCATCAGCATTAATGAATGTTAGAAGCATAAGTTATTCACATACCACCTCCAGTTGAAGATTCATGACTTGGCACGGCCTTCTTAGAGAAATAAATGATTATTGCGATGCCAGAGAGCACTGTCAGAAAAATGGGGCTAAGGGCCAAAATACTGCTGAGATCCATGCCTATGCATTAACTGTGAAAGCAGTCGCACAATTTGTTTGCTGATTGACAAGATGTCTCTTGAGCGGCCTTCCCGTGGATTTACGTCACTGCAGCGCAAGAGCACCGGCTTTACCGGTTGTAACGCAAAACCAAGGCGCTGAGGCAGCTATTAGACTTTTCCACGGAGACAAATATCTTTCGTCCTTGCTGCGCCGGTTTTGGGGAATATGGTAGCTTGTGAATGGCAACGCAGGTAGATATGGCCGCGTTCGATCAGTTGTTGGCACGGTTGTCAGCACTAATCATGAGCCAGTCTTCTCCCAACGTCACGTCACGTAACGTCATCGCAAAGTTAGATAGCATGTGACGTCAATTGCCGGCTGACTGCAGCTAGGATGTTTTGGCTCCATTCCGTCAGTCGTCAACGCGATTTTCAGCAGGAATGCGTGATGTCATGCGTGCTGGCGGAGCGCTCGATCCAGGTGCAGGCTCAGAGGGGGCCACAGGGCTAAGGCCCTTTCCCCTTAGGTCCCGGTGGGGCGGATAGCCTCCGAAGGGGCTATAACCGGCCAAACAGACGTAGTTTTCTTACACAAAACGCAATGAGTTGGACGTCTTTGGGCTTTCAGGTGACCAAGCATAGTTCCAAGCAACCAGTAGAAGGCGCATGCAAGCCTTTCTCATCGTCCTTGACTTATTTGCATTCGGAGCAGTAGCGCGGGCAGAGGGGGGGGGGGGAGGGGGGGGGGGGGGGAGCGGGCACTCGGATGCCTCGGAACCTACGATTAAGGGCCCGGTTTGAGGGGCCGAAGAGGCTAAAGGCCGACCCGAATTTGCATTCAGGGGCCCCTGCCCACAAGGCCGAGCACTCCAAAACCTGCCAGAGGGCCCTGATCAGGGGCCTCCTGAGTTGATGAAGGCCTATATGTCGGTCAGACACTGCCAGTAACGCACAGTTGGCTCCATGGCGGCATGGGCCTGCGGGCCCATTTCCCAGGCAGGAGCAAAGCCGGAGCCAGCTATTTACATTGGTCGGGTCCACAGTGTCTGTCAGCGCCCCACAGCTCCTAACAGGAGCTCTGTGTTGGCATGGGTCCCTGAACCGGCCAGGGGCAGTGTTCGAGGAGGCCCGGAGAGCCTAGAGGGCCTAACGAGTCCGACTATCAAGGGCCGAATTGGAGGGTCTAAGGGAACGAAGGGCTCGTCGGAGTCTTGTTAAAGGGCAAGGCCTACGGGGACGGGCCCTCAAACAACAGCCAGAGGGCCCTTTGGGCCGATCGGGGCCCCGAAGTCGATATGAGCCTAGATGTCGGTCAGGCATAACCAGTATCGCACAATGGCCTTTGTGTTGGTATGGGCCTGAGGGCCCACTTTCCGATCAGGTATAAAGCTGAGGTCAGTGATCTACACTGGTTGGGGACGTTGTACCTTTCAGGGCCCAAAGCGCCTAACAGAGAGTCCTGTATTGGATGAGACCCGAAAAGGGACCCGAGCGACCCACCGGAACCGACGGCCAAAATTCCGGTTGGAGGGCATAGGGACCCGACGGGCGGTAAGGGCCCGATCGTATGTCATAAAAAATCGTGGCCCGTAGGGTCGTAGCCTAAATATATCAGTGAGAGGTCCTCTTGCACCGGCTGAGGAACCCTTGAGGCAATGCGGGTGTCTAAGTCGCCCTGAGACCATGAACACGGAACAGTCAGCTCCATGTCCCTCCGAGCTATTGAGACTTATTTCCCAAGCAGGAACGAGGCCAGGGACCCTGATGTGCAATGTTCTGGGTCGCTGACAAAATGAGGGGTTCCTGTGTCCCTCCGGGGTCACAGTACCTGCAGGGGTCCTTTGGCGGCAGGTGGCCCCGAGTCGGAGCGGTGTTTGAAGGGGCCCGAAGAGGGGCCGAAAGGCTTCTCGAGACCAAAGATGAAAGGTCTGATTGAAACGCTGAAGCGTCCAAGGGGCTGACCGTAGGTCACATGAGGGAGGCCAATAGCGCCGTGATCTCAAATGTCAGTTAGAATACCTCTTGCACCGATTGGGACCCCCGAGACAGAGCGTTCCTCTATTTCGCCAAGAGATCATCAACAACGAACAGTCATGTCGTGGGTGAGCTCTGTTGCTCCGTGTCGGCCTGAACTCTGGGGGGCCTATTTCCCACGCAGGGACAAGGCCAGGCACGTGGTCTACATTGGTCGGGCTCCTGAATCGTTCAGTGTCCCACAGTGCTTAACAGGGGTTTGTGCCAAAAGGGGCTTTGAGTTGGTCAAGGGAAGGTTTGCTCAACAGAAACGGAGACGGGACCCCGAATTGCAGAGGGTCTCTTGCGTCGGTCGGGGCCCTCTGAAAATGTAAGGAAACGTGAGAGCTCATGATGAGTGCTCACATTGAGGCAGTGGAAGGGTCCTGTACCAGTGAGGGCCCCCAGTGCCAATGGTGGGTCCCCAAACCAATGCCAGCATGGGCCCGTTAAGCCGAACTGAAGTCTGCATGCCAATTAATTGTCCACCTGCGGCGATCAGGGATGTTGTCGCGTCAAGAAGGGTTCCTGCGTCGATCCGGGGCCAACCGTGCGGATCAGAATGCCTCCCGCTTCAGGGATCGGGCCAATGCGATATGATGTGTTCCTCTAACGGTCTTCGGATCGGCCAGGGGATCCCGCCCCGTGTCGCCAGGGTGACAACCGGAAGACACCCTGCGGTGGGACAAAATGGTCCTTCAGCACTTTGCCGGGAATAATAATGTGCCCCGTAGTGTTCTTCTCAAGGGTACCCTTTCCCGGAAAGAAATGATGGGTCTCATTGTTGAAACGTGTGTCGAAATTATATTAAAAACGCACAAGGTCATCCCATGCTTGCCTGAAAACGTCCATTATTTTGCAGAATCGACTAGTGAAACAAATTACATCAAGGTATTTGGGCCCGCGCACCTGCCATCTCGGGAGCAAGAACAGCGATGGCCTGGGTTGCAGTTTCCGTAAAACCGAGCGCAATTGGTCGCTGCAGTTAGCACTAGGCGGTGGGCGCCGTGCGCGCAAGAACGACCATCCTAAAGTAATGTTTCTGAATGCCTTTCAGAATTCATTCGCGGTTTAAAAATTAAGTTGAGCAAATCCTTTTACAAATCTTTGGGGTGGTCCTGTGGACAGATTGACAGCTACAGCAACATTAAAAATAGAGGTTCTGCTTTTACTCTTCAGTTCCACCAAGTTTCCCCACCAGATTCCAGGACCACTTCGCAGTGCCGTTAAGGCCAGTTCGTTACAATCATCAATCTAAAAATTGCAGAGATAAATATGCGTCGAAACTCTATCCCAATTGTGTGATGTTATGTCCTAAAGCGTCCAAAGTTACTTCTTTCAAATACGTCCTCACTTTCGTCCACCTGTTGGCCATGGCCTAGTGTTAGCCACGAGACAGCCGCCGCGCTGCTAATGGAGACTGCAACGTCTGGCGTCAAGGATTTTATTGCTAAGATATGCGAGTGCCTTTGCCCAATACTACGTCACGTAATTTGTATCACTAACCAACTCTGACCGAATGTTGGACGCATCCAGACAAACATGGCTTTGCGATGCTAACACAAATTGTTGGTCCATTTTTATCTTCAATATGCGTTTACAGGGTCCTTGATATATCTGCACAACGTAAATAAAAATTGACTTAAAAGAGTGCACTGCACCATTGTGAAATCAAGAAGGCTAGCAAGTGATTTCATGTAGTCGTTCGGCGCATGATTTTTTGAGTTCATCGAATTTAAACGTCAGACAGAACTAATCTCGCTCTAACGTCTGGCTTCCTTTCCAGTTATGGAAGATAAAAATGTATTTTACACACACACACACACACACACACACACACACACACACACACACACACACACACACACACACACACACACACACACACACACACACACACACACGCACACGCACACGCACACGCACACGCACACGCACACGCACACGTGCACGTGCACGCGCACGCGCACGCGCACACGCACACGCACACGCACACGCACACGCACACGCACACGCACACGCACACACACACACACACACACACGCACACGCACACGCACGCACACACACACAAATGTGTATTGCCATATATATATATATATATATATATATATATATATATATATACCACTTCAAAAGAAAAGCATGCTCCCATTAGCAAGTTAGCCATATCAGGCGATTTTGGGGACCCTCCTACGATCAGGGGGCCCTTTGTCAACGCTGCATCCCCTTGCCAAGTCTGGCTGCGTGCCTGATTCGGAGGGCCGTGCACTGTTGTTGGGCCCTTCCTGCTGGCGTCCGGAGCACTCTTGTCAATCAGGGGCCTTCCACGGATCAGCGCCATTTGTCAGAAAGGCTCTGTGCGCTATAGTTGGGGCCTCATATGTTAGCCTGCCGGGGTATTCCCGGTTGCTCAGAAGCCCTTTACGTTGGTTTCAGTTAACCTACCGACTCACTCACAGTGTGCTCATTCATAGGCCCCCCACATTGGTCTACGGGTCTTCCAATTATTTGTCACTTGCTTGGGGCGCTACCCGCTTGTCGGGGGCTCATCTGTTAACCGGCTTGAGCACACTCGGTCGTTCGGGCCCTCAAAATGAACCTGTTCGGGCACATTGGATTGTTCGGGGGCGCTGCATATTGGGTTTTGGCATTTGAATGTAGGGCCCTACGCTCCTGTCGAGGGCATCTGATAGCATGCCTGGGGACACTCGATCTTCAGGGGCCATCCATCATCGGTTTTGGGTACTTTTTTATTTGAATGGAAGGTCCCACGCTTTTGTCGGGGACCCTATCTGATAACCTGCTCGGCCTACTCGATTGTTTGTGGGCTCTCTACATTGGGTTTTCGGCGGTAGCGTTGGCAAACGGCGGGGGGGGGGCAGTGGAATGTGCCCCCTTAGATTCCGCGGGGCCTTTTGGACCCCTCAAAACCTACGATTAAGGGCCCGAAAGGCCGGCCTTAGGTCGCATTCAGGGGCCCCGGCGCGCAGGGCCGGGCACTCCAGTGCCAACCAAGAAGCTCTGTGCGTTGATCAGGGGGCCTCTCAAGTCGATAAGGGCCCATTTGTCGGTCAGACACCACCAGCAACGCAAAGTCGCCTCCGTGGTGGCCTGGACCTGAGGGCCCACTTCCCAG